AGGGGGCGAGGGGCAAGACCTCCGAGGAGAGGAGCGAGGCGGAGAAGTCCCTATTCCTCCACGCGCTGGGAGGTGGGCGAGTGCTGGAGGCGAGCTGGGAGGATGCGCAGACTGAAAGGATGTTGGCGAGCAGGTGCGGCAGGGCAGGACGATCGAGACTTCAAGGAGGTTGCCCCTCCCCCTTCCCTCTCTCCTCTTCCCTGCTCTGCTCTGCTCTCCCCTCCTCTTCTCTGCTCTGCTCTGCTCTCCCCTCCTCTTCCCTGCTCTGCTCTGCTCTCTCCTCCATCCCCCTCAACTTCCAGCTAACTTCCAGCAGGTTCGCTTTGCGGACTCCCTGGGTCGGGACAGCTTTCGAGCCCCTTCCGACTTTGACGCGGAGTCGCCCAGCGAGACACCAAAGGTCAGCCCCGTTGGAGAAGTTTGCGGCCTCTTGGCGAGCTGGAAATGAGCTGACGAGGGTCCTAGGATGGTCAGGACTTCTTCGGAGAGGATCCGAGGGAGGAGAAACGAGAGCCGGAGGAAGAGGAGGAGGGGAAGAGGGAGGAGAGAGAGGAGAGGAAGGAGAAGGAGGAGGAGGCGCTGCAGTGGGCAAGCTCTCAGCACGGCTACAAGATGCTTAGCGCTGTTGACCGCCTAACGACCCCCCCCATCATCCCTCCTAGCCAGCAGGTCCCTGCTGCCTGCTGCTGCTGCTGCCTGCTGCTGCCTGCTGCTGCTGCTGCTGCTGCTGCTGCTGCTGCTGCTGCTGCTGCTGCTGCTGCTGCTGCTGCTGCTGCTCTCCGTTTTCAATATCTCTCCAGAATCGCGCCATGATCTTCTGACTCCATAGCTCCTCTGCCCCCTCCCTCACTTTCTCACTCAGGACCTCTCCTCTCCCTTCGACGTCGGCTACATGCACTTGACCTCCTCCTTCCGGCGCCGCGAAGTGAAATACTCACATCCCTCTTCCTTCCCCTCCTTTCATCTTCTTCACGATCCTCCTCCTCCCTTCTTCTCCTCGTCCTCCTCCTCCTTTTCTCACTCTCACACGCGCCTGGCAGGGTGAACCGTATCAAGATGGCAGAGAGGCTGCGGCGCAAGCACAGGAGGAGGCGTACGGCATTTCACCGCAAGGGGAAGATGACGAGGTGAGAAAAGAGAGGAAGCGATGAGAGATAGAGATAGAGGGAGAGGGAGGGAGAGAGAGAAGAAGATGGCAGGAGAAATCCGAGGAGATAGACGACAACGACAACGACGAGAAGGAGGAGGAGGAGTATGAAAAGGAGGATGATTGAGGAGGAGGAGGAGGAGGAGGTTGGTTGGATAAGTCGGGACTTACGTGGCATCGGCAGGAGGAGGAGGAGGATCTGGAGCTCATCTATGACCCCATCCTGAACTGCTACTGGGACCCTCAGGTATCCGACCAGCTCCACTCCAGCTGTGCCTCTCCCCGCTGACAGTTTGCGGCAGAACAACAAGTACTACGAGCTGAGAAACCCATAGGGTCATAGGCGGAGGGGAACAGGGTGGGTGGGTAAAAGGAAAGGTTGGGGTGTCGCGCAGGGGTGTAAATAGGACGATGTTATAATGCAAATATTGAAGAGAGACAGAGAAAGAGGCGGAAGAAAGCGAAGAAAGAGGCAGGAGGAAGAGAAGGAGAAGGAGGAAGAGAAGGAGAAGGAGGAAGAGGGAGAAAGAGGAAGAGGGAGAAAGGAGGGAGGGAGGGAGGGAGGAGGGAGGGAACGAGGAAGAGACAGAGGAGGGAGTAGGGAGTAGCCCGAGGGGTTGTACGGGTCGCAGTGGAGGATCAAGTGCCGTAGGTGTTCTCCTCGCACGCCAGGAGCTGCATGAGGAGGGGAAAGAGCTGCTGGAAACCCTCGCCCATGAGCTCCGTGATCTTGTCGGAAACCATATCCTCCTCGTCCTCCCCCTTCACCTCCTTCATGTACTGGTACGCCTGGAAGAAGCGCTCAAACCCCATCTTCTCCTCCAGGATCATCCGAAGCTCCTCGATCCTCTGGTGGATCGATCCCTCCTCCTCCCCCTTGTCCTCGTCCCCACGGAACTCGTGGTCGTCGTCGTCCTCCTCCTCCTCGTTCCCCCGCATCGACCGCTCGACCTGAACCGGCTTGATGGGCGAGTCTTCCTTGGACAAGAGCGCCGTCATCTCTTTGATCATGGCCCCGTAGTCCTCGTCCTCTGCCTCCTCCTCCTCCTCCTCCTCCTCACTCTCCTCCTCCTCCTCCTCCTGCTCTTCACTGCTCACGACCTCGACCTCGCCGCCATTGAAATCTTCCGTCACGGACCAATGCGCCATATCCTCTCCTCCCTGACTCGGGTTCACCTCCTTCCCCACCTCTCCTCCATCATCCTCTTCCTTCTTCCCCTCCTCTCCGACCTTCCCATCCTCCTCCTCGTCCGCCTTTTTGTCTGCTCCCTTGCCCTGATCAGCTGTCGTGAACCTCTCCTGCGCCTTCTGCATCAGCATCTTCCGCTCCTCGAAGGTCGCCACCCTCGCTTGCCTTAGCGCCTCCTCCTCCTCTTCCCTCTGCTTCTGCCGCTCCAGCTCTTTGCGCGCCAGCACAGCAGCTTTTCTCTCCTCCCCGCTCTCCGTCGGAGTCTCCGCTCGGGCATGAGGGGGATTGCCCTCCGCCCTCCTCTTGTTCCGCTCCGCCGCCTCCTGCTGCTCCTGCCAGATCTGCCTGCGCTCCTCCGACGCGATGTCTTCCTTGGGCACTGCAGGAGGGAGGGGAGGAGGAGGAGAAGGCTTCGTGTAGATGTGGATCCCCGTCGGCTGATTCTCCTCCGCTACCCCAGCAGCCTCTTTGACGGGAGGGGTCGAGATCCCTTGCTTCCTGTCCTCCAGCCTCCTCTCCTCCTGCTGCTTTCTCCTGATCGCGTCCCTCACGCGGATCATCTCAGCTCTCTGGGCTTCTCTCTTCGCCTCTGCCTCCTTGGCTCGCTGCTCGATCTCCGCCTGTCGCTTCAGTCGCAGGAACTCGTTCTCGATGCTGACCTGCGAAGGTTTCTGACTCCCTCGTACGCTCTTCACCATCGGGCTCACAAGAGGTCCCTTGATCCCTCCTGCTCCTGCTCCTGCTCCTGCTCCTGCCCCTGCCATCGCTGCTGCTGCTGCACTTCCTCCCCCGCCTGCTCGTCCAGTCCCGGCAGGTTTGGACGAGGCAGGCTTGCTTGCTCCCGGCCCTCCTCTCACCATCCGATCCCAGTTCTTGGGCTCCTGCTTCGCCTCTGCTGCCCTTTCCCTCCCCTCGTCCGGCCTGGTCGGCTTGAGCGAGGGCATGGCGAACATGTTGATTGGAGGTCGAGGACGTGACTGACCTGACGTCAGCTCCCCGAGCTTCGATGCCGAGGGCCGAGGCCTGACAGAGCCCTTGGACTTGGGAGGGTCTACAGGGGAAGCAGCGGCAGGAGGCCTTGAGCTCGGAACCGTCGGGTTCCTGCTGTCCTCAGGAACCGGCTGCTTCGGCTTGCTAGGAGCCGACACTTCCCCGAACTCCTTCTTTCTCTCGTTGTCGTCGAGGAACTTGGAGATGCGGGCGACGCAGTAAGGCAGAGCAAGCACCTCGTTGATGCTCGGCCTCTTCCGCGGATCCTTCTGCAGCAAGCTCGCGACCAGGGCCTTGAGAGGAGGAGAGAAGTGCGGCGAGATGGGCTGGTAGACGCCTCGGATGATCTTGAGGACGAGGCCATGGAGGTTGGAGGCGTCGAAGGGGCACTTGAGCGTGCACATCTCGTAGAGGACGATGCCGAGGCTCCACATGTCGCTCTTGTAGTTCGCACAGAGATGAGTGGGGATGAGGACATCGCACTGCGAAATGTAGAAGGGAAGAGGATTTACGAGCAGGAAGGAGAGGGAGGGAGGGAGGGAGGGAGGGAGGGAGGGAGGGAGGGAGAAAGGGAGAGAACGTAGACGACCGTCCGCAAAGAAGGTAGAGGAGTCAGGTCCACATGGCATTCGAGAGCTTGTAGAAGTTCCATGGCATGTTTCAACAAGGGGGGATCACGTATAGAATGCAGGCCTTCTCCCTTCTCCCCCCTTCCCCCCTCCTCCTCTCCTCACTCTCTCCTCCATTCACTTACCTTGGGCATTGGAATTCGCAGGTTTCCATGGGCTCCGAGCAAGCTGGGGACGATTTCGTCACAGACGTCTCGATCGAGTTCGAGGATCCCAACGAGTCCATTGATGACACGGAGACCTTGCTGTTCTCGGTAAGTGCTTGCCTTGCCGCCGAAGTTTCATGCTCACTCTCCACTTCCTTCTACTCGTCCTGGCCCTCGTCCTTGTCCTTGTCCTTGTCCTTGTCCTTGTCCTTGTCCTCGTTCTCCTCGTCCTCCAACTCACTTTCATCCTCCTCGTCCAGAATCTCGACACCCCAACTCCGTGCCTGCGCGTCGGAGACAGGGAGTATGAAGGGCACTACGAGTATGTCATCGGGACACACCTCTATTTCTCTAGCGAAGGTGAAAGCTGAAGAGGAGGAGGGCTGAAGAGGAGGGGGCGAGGAGGAAGATAAGAAAAAAGAGATGGACAGGAAGACGAACATCACAGGACGATGGGGAGGAGGAGGAGGCAGAGGAGGAGGGATTAGTAGCAGTATCAGCAGTGATAGGTGGTGGTTGCGGTGGTGGTGATGATGGAGGAGGAGGAGATGTGATGGTGGTGGATAACAATTTGATTTTTGCAGGAGAGAACGGCTCCAGCACCAGGTGAGTGGCGCTTTCAACCTGTTGCTTCTTGTCTGACATGAACGACAGTCCAGCTGAACAACAGGCGGAGGACCGCGTTCCATCCTACCAGCTCATAGGCAAGACGTGCAAGAAGGTTGTCTGCTCTTCTTCCTCCTCGTCCTCCTCGTCCTCCTCGTCCTCGACCTTGTTCGCCTGACTTGGATCAGATCGTGATGAGGAGGGTGGGAGGAGCCCGAACGGCTCCAGCAGAGGCAGCTGACAAGCAGGACGCCATGGAGACGTGAGAACAAGAGCACAAGGCGATGAAGTGAGGAGCAACTTTCTTTCTGCGTGTATATTACATACATTTACATCTATGTTTTACAACTCTGCACATATTCACAACTTGAGAGGACCCGTCCCCCTCCTCCGCGGCAGCCCGGTGCTCGGCACGGGCAGAGCATGCTTGTCGTTGCGTAGCAGCTGCATGCTCATCCTCTGTGCCAAGATTGTGTTCTTTACCTGAGGAGGCAGAGTAGAGCCCCCCTGGCTCGAGAGCAGGGACACTGCGGCTGGGGTGTAGCGAGGATGTTTCTGTAACTTGAGGCCGACAGGACACCCGTAACGGGAGTATCTTCTGTTGATGCTGACGTCAAGCTTGTCCTGAGGGACGCTGTTGGCCACCCAGCTGAGGTAGACGCTCCAGATGAAGCCTCCGATCGCGAACGCGTTCACCTGCTCTGTGACGGGGACGTATGCGTAAACCATCGCTCCCCATCCTGGCCAGAACTTGAACTCTGACACCGTCACGTTGACAATGTTGCGCTTCCACTGAGAGACAGCATGGCCGAGCGAGTCACGGGCGCAGAGCCGCCGCAAGATGATGTTGAAGGTGTTGGTAAGGGTCCCCCAGATGTACGAGTCCACAATGACTTTCCCCATCAGCGCCCCGAACTTTGACAGCGAGTCGAACCCAACCATGCTACCCGGCATCAGCATGTTGAGGTTGCACAGCCAGATGGTGGTTCCTCCTCCCTGCAGCAGCCCAGCTACAGCTCCAGCAGACAGTAGCCTGTTCCAGTCCACCTTCACCTCTGCCACCCCTCGATGCCTCTGGTCGACTCCTTGTGCAACAGCATCTCCCATCATGGCGCACGTGGCTGCCAGCGGAATGTTGCGCAGGATCTGATCAAACACCTCCATGGAAAGCGCTGCCTCTGGGACATGCACGTTGCAGTATACAAGTGCCGCCGCCATGCCTGCCGCTGCAGAGTTGAACAGGAACTGAGGCATTCGACCCTCAAGAGACTGCAGACTCTTGCTCACATGCGCAGGGGAATCGTACGTCTCCTTCTGTATCTCAGAGACTCTCTCACTCCTTTCCGTCATGTCTGTATTTCCTGAGTCCTTCCATTGCGACACAGTAGGTAGGATAGTCTTAGTGGCGGTGGTCGGGAAGAATCGAAACCTGAGAGGGCGCTGAACCGTTCGCACGTTGGACAGGTAGCACCATTGAGAGGCCTGATACTGCTTCGACCTATGATTGACTAGCTTCAGTCGCTTTAGGAGGCAAGCCCCAGTTGAGTTTCTTAAAAGGGCAGTCTGCATTACTGTCCTTGTGTTCCCCAGTGAGAAAATGGCTCAACGCTTATCCACTGAAAGGGATCGTTGGATCTAATTCCCCTTTCTGTTTGCTTCCAAGTGTTCCCTTCCTTATGGTCTGATATCTGTGCAATGCTTCTCAGTCAGGACCTGGTAATCCTTTCACCGAGGTGTGACGGGTCGCAGGATTCCACCAAGTCTTCTAGCAAGTCAAGTGCGATGCCAGATAGACCCCGGTATAGCAGCTTATTCGATTCTTCGTTCTGTATGCGAGAATTTCTCTCCCTTGTCTCTAGTTCATCCAGGTGATCTCAAACCCTTGCTATGATCTTCAACCTGCTTCGATTCCTCTGCACGTCTTCGTTGTCGTATCCTCTCCGCAGCCTTGCCTAGCAGTACGTCTCCTCGCCTCCTTGTACTTCTCACCTGTTCTGCTCGTGCTTGTTCCTTTCACTTCTGCTGTTGTTCCTCTTCCTCTTCCTCTTCCTCTGACTCTTCTCTTCGCTTGCTCACTGCATCGCCAGCACAGTCCTCCTTTCCGAGCCTTGTGAAACTCCAATATTAAATAAATCACCATCCCCTCTATCTCATTACCCCACCCCCTCCGCCGTCACTCCTCAACCCTACCTTCAGTCCCCCCACCCAGTTACAATCACTACCCTACCCCGATATCAACGAGTCTATCACAGACACCACCGTACCTGAGTACCCCCTGTCCTACAAAAGAACCCACCCGTTGCATAAACATGAACAATTGACATGCGCTATCCAAATGACGAATTTTGATACGTGTTTTTGGAATATTTCTGAAAATATACAATTGTCATTTCAGCTTGAGAAATATTTTCATCATACCCACCTCCAACATTACCCCTGTCCTCACTCTTCACCCTATCTTACATTGACCGTACCCCTTTAATGTAAGCTTTCCAACCACCCTGCTCTTCAGTACCCCATATCTAATCAACATCACCCCATTTTTCCAACCCGAGTGTATCCATGTACCCTACCAGGCAAAGCAACATCATGGTCCACTACCCACCCATGGGAATGGGGATTTGCAAGAGTCCACTATTGGAGGGGTGGGGTACTGGTCGGAGTGACCATATTTGCACAGTAGGGGTGGTACATTACTTCGGATGGGGTAGGGTGGTTCTCCACAACGAGTGGTGTAAAACTTGAGAGAAAATATACCGGTACTTTTCCCAGAAAAGATAGTACCAAGGAGGGGTTTGATCCATTCGCAAAGTCGAAAGTCATGGGGGTGGTAAAGATTGAGGGTGGGGTGCATATGAAAACCACCCTACCGGGTCTCTCCAATTATTGAGGGCCTATACCGTGGGGTACTCCCAGCTTCTGCAGATTGGAGGAAACATGGAGGCTAAAGGGGGTGGGTCATGTACTCCTCTCTACCCACCCTACAAAGATTGTTCACCAAGTCCTGTACCCCTACTATTTCAGTATACACCGGTTTCAATTAGTAGAACATTTCGAGAAAATACGGGGTACCAAAGTACCCCTACCCACTGTTCGCAGTAAATAACCCCACAAAGTGAAGGATCCGATCCAATTCTTTGCTCTTGGTCATCGATCGGCCGACAGGCCCTACCCCTACCCACAAAATTTCTCACCCTACCCACCTTTTTAATACCCTACCCCCTGGGAGACCCTTTCCGTCCACACTTGACCCCCGTGTGTAAATACTCCCCCTAAACTACCCCACCTCATCCAATCTTCACAAGCTTTATACCACCCTGCTGCTTGAAATTCCCCAAATATCATTGTACCACTTAATTCATAATCAAATATGGGTCCAGACCCCTCAATGAGACTACCCCACCTGTATTTTTATGAGCTACAGCAACCACCCAGATATAATAGTACCCTACCATACCCTGAAATCTAATAATTTTCACCACCCGTCCTTGGAAGCCAATTGATTCCATATCACCGGTTCCCCATGTTTCTGCCACATACCCCACACCTGTTTGGGGTACCCCCACCCCCCACAGAAAAGAATCAGGGACCTGCACCCCATCATACCACCGGTCTTATTTAGGGGAATTATGTGGGTTCTATGTACTACCCATAGATGTACCGGGTCTTCTTCAACGCTGGTGGGGGTACACCAATTTGTACATTTGTACCCCATCTTTTCACTCACAATTACCGGGTACTGGTACCACCCACCTGGTCCTGTGGGCAGTCGGAGACAAAAGACATGAGCGCACTGGTCAAATCAAGGTCAAATGTTTGAACAGGCGGCCGGCGGTCAAACCTCGGGTCAAACCACGTGAAAGGATGGGGGTTTCATTTGACCATGGTCAAATCATCTCTTCTTGTTGTTTCGAAAACACTCCTTGTCGCAATTTGCGACTCGGACCGACAGGCCCGGTTGAGATGGTGAAACCGGGCAAACTTTCTCACAGAGTCAGAGTCTAGTCTGTGTACGGTAGCCCGGCCGGGCCGGCCCGCCCCGGGCCCGGAGCCTAGCCTAGTACGCGGGTAACGGTACGGCCCTAGTACCGTCGCACGGCCGCCGGGGCGCCGCGGCCGGCCGCCCGGCCCCGGGCCCCGGCCGGGGGCCCGGATCCAGCCGCCGCGGGCGGCCCAGGCTCACTGTACTACGGTACGGCCCTAGTAGTAGTACAGCCAGTGTAGTCAGTGACTCGGAATAAGAGAGCCTAGTAGGGCCCACCGTGGGCTAGGCCGCTGCGGGCCACTGCCAGACTCCAACTCGAGCCTGATAAGTCCGATACCCCCCGGCGGGTGACCGGGAGTCCGGACGCCGCCGGCCCCGGGCGGCCGGGCCGCCGGCGGGTCCGATCCGACTCAGATCTCAGTCTGGCACTGCCTGGGGCCCCCGGGGCTGGGGCACGCAACCGTTGAACTCCCGGATGAATGGCCGGGCCGGGCCGCCGCCGCCGCGCGGCCCCCCACTGTAACTCACGGAGCCTCGGAGGCTGTAAGTCCGAGACTCCCTGTCTGCGGGGGGATGCGGACTGATTGCGAAGGGGCGCGGAGGAAAGGCGATGGCCCGGGTGAAGGCGGCGCTGGTGTCGCCGATGGCGGCGGGGATGATGCTGATGATGGTGCTTGTGAGCATGCACCTGGTACAGAGAAGCGACATGCTGGCTGCTTCTCCCTCCTCCTCGGCATCCTCCTCCTGGATTGAGCTTGAGAGCCGATCGAGGCTGGGGCATGAAAGCGTGGAGCAGGTGATTGCGGGGTGGAACAAGCTGGAGGCAGAGGCAAAGAGGCAGTTGAAGGCCAGCAAGCTCGCAGCTGTACCCCAGAGTGGACAGGGCAAGCTGGCCGGACTTGGCGTGAACACAGGAGAGGAGTACAATCACCATCCTGGCATGGATGTCACTGTGCGGCAGGGACATAGAAACCCCTCTTACTTCTTCTCTGCGGAGGGCAGCGATCCTGATCTCGTCCCCAACCTGACACCCACAGCGGAACCCGTGCGGGAGAGGAGCAGGCTGGACGACGCTGGGATCAACACTGGCTCAGAGCACAGCCAGTGGGACGACGAGGCCGTTGAGACTTCAGCAATGGAGGACCCCTACAACGTCGGCTCCTCCCCTCACCGGGAGTGGAGCTCTCCCTCTCACCGTGCAGGAGGAATCTTTGCCGTCTCCCCCAGGATGAGCCAGCTTACCTCCTCCCCTCACGCTCCTGTTGAGACGTCCAACCACCATCTCAGCAGCAAGGGAGTGAACACCGGGGAGGGCGGTGGCCCAGACCTTGGCTTTCCCGGTGACAACCACGTGAAGGCAGGGCATGTGAACCCTGCCCACATGATCCACACAGGGCAGAGCCTGCCGACTTACACGCAGAGCAAGAAGACTTCGAAGCCCAGGACGACTAGGGACGGGGCGTTAGACAGGCTGGGAGTGAACACGGGGGACGAGCACTCGCAATGGGACGACGCCATGGTGAAGTCGGACGGGCTGGAGGACAGCTACAACATCGGCATCTCCCCTGAGCGCGAGTACAACAACCCTGCTCCTCTTCCTGGTACCGCCAGCTGGCCTGCGAGGAGCCCGAGGTCGGGAGGAGTGGAGCAGAAGCTCATGGGAGGCAGGAGGTCACATGATTTCTTCCGCAAGAATGTCCAGCCGCTGCTGCAGGGAGCGAAGAGGGGAGGAGGAGGTGGAGTGGAGCGCTCCAAGAAGGTGATGCAGGCTGCTACCGGGTTGCTGAAGCAGGCAGCAGCGGAGGAGGCAAGGGCCAAGGAAGCAGAGAGTGCGTTTGAGCAGCAGGCGGCAATGGCAAGGAGGGCAGAGGCCCTCGCGCTGAAGGCAAAGACCTTTGCGGAGAAGGTGGGAGAGGCGAAGCTGAAGGAGGAGGAGGCGCAGGAGAGGCTGCAGGCTGCGGAAGGGAAGTTCAAGAAGCAGCTCAAGGAGTCTGAGGACATCATCCCGGAGACGCAGGGCAACTTCTCCTCCTCCTCCTCCTCCTCCCTGTCCACCCCTCTCGCCCTTGGATCGAAGGCAGCGAAGAGCAGTGATGCCAGTCCGTCCCAGAGGCGACGAGGGAAGTTGGATGAAGAGGCCAAGAAGGATAGGATGGAGAACAAGCAGCTTGCAGCTGCTGGAGACGTGCAGGATGTGTTTGCCGCCATTAACGGGCAAGTGCCTCTTCACTCTGCTCGCAAGGTCTCAACCAAGTTAGTGGCAAAACCTACCATCAAGAAGCAGATCAAGGTACTAGAGTGCTTTCGCTCCCGCCCCCGCTGCTTCTCCATTCTCGCTCCTCTCTTCCTGTCCTGTTGCCCATGCTGTTCCCTTGTACCTTCTCCTCTCCTCCCCTTCTTCTATTTCCTTCTCCATCGCTTCATCCCGCACCCTCCCCTCCTTTCCTTCTGCTTTTTGGTTTCCTCGAATTTCCTCCCTCCCTCGCTCTCGTCATTCCCCCCTCTCCTCGTCATAGCATACCTCTCCCCCTCCTCCTCCCCCCCCCCTTCTCTCATCGACTACCTGCAGTTGAATCATCGCTCGGTTGGGGAGCGACACAAGAAAGAGGAAGCTGTTGAGAAGCGCCTCGGGGGCCTCCTCTGCCGGTAAAGGATCGCCTCATCGCCTCATCC